AACCCCATGGAAATGGATTCTGAATATAAGCTACACATCATTCGATGGAGAATTAAATTCTCTACAAAATGATGTATAGCTTCTCTTCGGCCAATGGATGGTTGGCCCAGGGGATAAATTTTTTCAAATTTTTTTCCAATTTTTTTATGACTCAGGTCATAGTTTGGGCCTGGTCACTCCCAAGGAAATGGATTCTTAATATGAGCTATACATCATTCGATGCAGAATTAAATTCTCTACATAATGATGTACAGCTTATCTTCGGGCAATGAATGGATTGCCCACGAAATAAATTTTTTTCAAATTTTTTTGTGGCTGATGTCATAATTTGGGTCTGATCATTCGCAAGGAAATGGATTCCTAATATGAGCTATACACCAATCCATGCAGAATTAAATTCTCTAACAGATGATGTATAGTTTATCTGCGGGCAATGGATGGTTTGCCCAGGAAATAAATTTTTGTCAAATTTTTTTTTCATTTTTTTTTTTGTATCATATCATACTTTGGGCGTGATCACCACCAAGGAAATTGATTCTTAATAGGAGGTATACATCATTCGATGCAGAATGAAATTCTCTACAAAATGATGTATAGCATATCTTCGGGCAACGGATCGTTTGCTCAGGAAACAAATTTTTTTTTGAAATTGTTTTGGAATTTTTTTATGACTCAACGCATAGTTTGTGGGAGATCACCCTGAAGGGAATGGATTTTTGGTGTGGGGTATACATCATTGGATGTAGAATTAGATTCTGTACAAAAGAATGTATAGATTAGTATCGGGCAATGGATGGCTGCCTAAAGAATTATGTTTTCTTCAAAATCGGTCGTGGTAGCTTCAGATGAATTAAAAACTTCTAATAAAAAGTCTATTTTTCGACCACATGGTCCATTGCCCGAACATGAATTATACATCATCTTGTACAGAATTTAACTCTGCATCCAACGATGTATAACTCATATCGGGATTCCATTTCCTTATAGGTGATATATGCTCACGTATGAGTGGGAACAAAAAAAAAGGAAAAACTTCTAGTGAAAAAGCCATTTTTCGATCATACGGTCCATTGCCCGAAAATGAATTATACATCATCTTGTAGAGAATTTAATTCTACATAGAATGATGTATTACTCATGTCCGGATTCCATTTCATTTAGATGATATATGATCACCTTTGACAGGAAACACAAAAGAAACGAAACATTTTTTAATCAAAACCAATTTCTCCACCATACCGT